GTATGTGTGTGTGAGTGTGTATATGTGTGTGTGTGTGTATGTGTATGTATATGTATGTATGTATGTGTGTGTGCGTGTGTGTGTGTATGTGCGTATGTGTGTTTATATAACAGTTATAAAGTTATTCGCCCATCTTTAGTCTTTAATAGTCTGTAATTAGGTTTAATTTTATAGTAACTACTCAAAATGTGTCCTCTGTGACGTTGGATTAAACTAATATCACCGATGAGTAATTTCATCAATTCCTTATAATTATTTGCTTCATTCACATGAATCTTGCTAATTTTACGACCTTTAAACTGAATTCTCCAACTTGCGTATTTGTTGTAAAAGAATCACTTACATATGCTATAGTTGTAAAAGAACTTTCATTTATATACTGGCCATTATTTGCATATATCATTCCTCTGAATTCATGTTATATGCAACTCGTACCAGAAATTCTATGTACTTTCGCAAATGTGCCGTCAAATAAATCTTACATTGTCGTCTAAATACCTTATATGTTATACCTTTAAGAATATGAATTCTTTAACATGTTTATTCCCCTGAAAAAAGTTATATTCGGAATAGATCATTCAAGCAAATGTTTATGGAGCTGAAAAGATTTTATCGATTATAGATTTACTCTACAATGAATGAAATAGCAATCAAGAAATTTACGAACCATCAAAATGTCAAATGACAAGGAAGATGACCAGAAATGTTCGAAAAATAATTTCCAATTTCAGCACAATAAGGAAGACATAACGAAGGAAAAATTAATATTCCCTCAAGATATTTACAGATTTGAATTTAACATTTCCGTAGTTCATGTAGAATAGTTTTCTAAGGATAGACGAAATCAATTTTGGATAAGCTGAGAAATTTATGACTAGGAAATCGACGAGCGTAAATATAACGTTTCAGTATTCCACGAAAAATCATTTAAAGTTACCTTTGAAACAATCCAGTTTCCAAATTCTTTTTATACTGAATAGATCAGAACAAATGAAGGTAATAGAATAGAATAATACAACAGAAATAATGAGCAAATTGGAACAAATGAAGGTAATAGAATAGAATAATACAACAGAAACAATGAGCAAATCGGAACAAAATGAAGGTAATAGAATAGAATAATACAACAGAACAATAAGTGAACAAGAAAATTGGAAAAAAATAAATAAAGAATAAATAATGATAAAAAGAAATAGAACAAATGAACAAGGAAATAAAAAAATAAGGGGTAAATAATTAAGAAGGAAGTAATGCAAAATTAAAAACTTTGAAATTATATAGATGTCTAACAATCGAATGAAAAAGCTCTGCAGACACATGTGAAATGTTAAGCTATCACAAGATAACAGATTAAAGTGTGGAAAAAAAGAAGGGAAAGACTTGTAAACCTAGGCGGATAGTGCCATTTAGCTCATCCTACTTTATATATGCTACTTATGCAACAGTCTTACCGACTCTACTTGAAATTAATTAGTCATATCCGTTTTTGTTCCACGCTTCTTCCTGTTCGATTTGATCTTGAATAATTCCGACAATTCTGATAAGAACTTTTTTTAACTGGTCTGTTACACACCGGCGACTTAACTGGTCGTCTACAATACTCTCTAGAAGGACTTCGGGATTCAAATCGATTCCCAAAATTATTTATTGTTGTAGGTTGATCTTTCCGGTCTGTCAGTTTGCGATCTGACGTGGATGTCATGCAGTTCGTAACGTTTAACTTCGTATTCAGACGTGATCTATGGTGACTGCGTGACTTAGAAAAGCTGGAACGCTGCCGCTGATCATGGTCAAACGATCTATCAGGTGATGGATACGTCGACAGGATACGATTACGCTGTTGCTCTTCGTATTTATCCGACCCTGATCGTTTTCTTGCATGTGATCGTTTTTCCCGTTTACCACAAGAATCGTATGGAGTACTCGAATTGACCCTCTCTTGCTCCTTTTCATCTCGTGTCATATGATTTAACTTTTCATGTTGCTTCGCATAATGTTCTGAAATGAATTCATCAACTCATTCATCGAAAACCCGCCAATCTTTTTTATTTCAGAGATGTAAAAAAATATAACCCACATTGAACCTTTAATTAGAAAAATGTATTTTTAGACTTGGGCCTTGAAGAAATATTTTTGAATTATAACTCACTACTGAAATTGCTAGAAGCTCTAGCTAATTCCATATTTTGTCGCGTTGCTACTGGATGTACGCTCCCTGGATTCTGGGAAACAGTTGATGAGGTCGGGGCGACTTTATCCGTATTTCGACGATTATTAAATGAGTTCTGTAGTTCATCAAGCATTAAAATTTTGAAGAGAAATAACAAAATCACTATCCTAAATTTCAGGAAGCTGAAAGAGGTGTTCATTTTTTTCCACTGCTATTTCCTAATCCCGTTATCATATATTCGTTAATCTGAGTCGCTTCATTTCAGATCCCAACATTATCCAAAATTTCGGATTTATTCGATGCAAAAAAGTCAGGATCTCCTTATTAACTGTTAACATAACAGCACTATATACTTTCTAAAACATTTATCGTTAAACATTCTTTGATGTGCAACATACTGTTTTGGGAGCAAGAAGACTGTTTGTAGAAGTAAGTGTCGGTTTCCGCGGCAACTCCAGCACTACCGGTAATTCATCCGGATTAACATCTAGATAATTCGCTGCGAGCCATTCCTCCATTTTTGCCAAATTATCGAACAACATTTCGATTGCAAAACGTCCTCTCAGTACTTTGATATATTTTGGTTTCAGTGAATTATTTCTTATGCATATCTGATGTTTGCATTTAGGACAACTCATCGCACAGTTTCCTTGCAATCTGTAAATCATTTTGACCAATATATTTCTTTTTCTTTCTCCGTAAATCATTTTGATCAACACATTTGTTTTTTTGCCTAAAAAGCAATAAATAAACTTCCAAAGACAACTAATCAACGCGTATGATACTTACTATATAGGGTGAATGTGGGATAATCGATATGAAGCAAAACTGCTACACCTGTAGTATGAATAAATATCCCACATTCGTTCTATAGTAAGTTATATTACCATTACGTTAGTGTTTTGACAAGAATAATTTTTAAAAAAATAACCTTTAGGAAATAGCTATAATAGCCCTTACGCTTACTAATACAATATGCCTGTTCATTTTCAAATAAGTTTGACATTTTCAAATAAAGTTTTGGCTCAAGTAAGGTCGATGTAAATGGAAAGATATTTCCACTGTCTTCACCATGCCTTTAAAAAATAAGTAAACAAGCCAAAGCTCGACTGACGAAAGCCGGAAAGTTTCAAAGCATACTGATGTCAACATGATGTGAATCAGAAAAACTGGAGCTATTAGAAGGTACTATAGAAAAAATCCACATCTCTTAGAAATATATTGGTTCCAAAATAGAATACCATGGCGACTAAAACTAGCAATTAAGCTATGAAAAATAAGAGTATCAAAGGTACTAGCACATAATATGTCACTTGAAATCTAATTCTTCAAATAAAAACCGTTATTTAGTTTCAAAAATAGCAATGCCTACTTCGGAAACTTTCCGAATATTAGCTATTTCGCTTTTAATCACATGGATAAAATTACTTCATTTCAAGCTTCTTATTTTCCTTCTTGAGAGTTTCAATTTGTGCACGCGCTGTTACCAGTAGAGAATACATATTGCGCACATAATTTTCTTTCTCTTCGGCAAATTTCCTCTCTAATTCAACGATTTGTTTTGCATAAATATTTGATCCTTCATACAACATCGGCTTTTCATCCCTTACAACATCCATTGTTTCAGTATCGGCGCCTGTAAAACCGTGCGAAATGAAGTGGTAGAATACAGTTTAGGAAATACCGCAAAAAACTAATATAAATGGAAAAAAAAGAGGACAGAATAGAAAAGAAAGAAGGAAATGAAACATCAAATCTAGTAATAAATGAATGGATAAACGATTGAACCGATTTGGATGATCATTTTTGAGAAAACCTACAATTTAGATGTCCAGGCACGGTTACATCAATCATAACTTCGAATTTGGAAAGATCCATTTCTGCTTGCTGCTCTTTTAAAATCCCCTCTGATTCTGGTAGCATACATGAGTCCATTGTCTCATTACCCCGCACAACTATCCTTGGTGTTTCATCTAAATCGTGACATCCGTCACTATATTTTGAAACAGCCATTCGCATAGGGAATTGTCATTTCGTAGATAATTTCAAGTACAATAACAAGTACCCAAAACTCTCTTAAGTTATTCCCAAAGAATTACCTTAAGCTCCACATTATTTGAACGAATAACTATGCTGAAGTACCTCATCATCATTAAGCTGATGAGGAATTAGTTGAAACAAATAGAACATTTTTCAAGCTATTTCTTTATTTCTTTCTTTTTTTTTTGAGCACGATGACAGCAAACCTAATGAATGGAAAATCCAGCTGTCGTCAACTGGCACTTCTTCCGTTAAATTTGTTCGCATTTCATCTTCATTTGCTGTCACATTCCTATCTATTCCACCTTCCGTGTCCATAGCCAATGCTGCCATCTTTGAGTGGAATTCGTTTGCTGCAATAATTCCTTCACTGCAAACAATTTCGTCGGAAAAATCACTATTATCCTTATCATCGTAATCCAATTCGTCGTCTGAATTGGACTGATACTCCACCAATTCATCTGAAATTTATAGACTTCCGCAAAATTATCAGCTGATAAGGTAGTACATAAATCTTTGCTGAAACATTGTGATATGGCAATCCTGAAAGAAGACATTGGTTAGGAAATTTAACCATTTTGAATGACAAAGGTAGAAATATCAAAGCTTATGCAGCAAGCAATTTTTATTCGAAGTATAGCAAAGTGTTGCGAAGTAAATAAGACACAAAGAAAAAAAGAATAAAAAGTGCTTTGCCTTTCCTGACTCTTAGCAAAAGTAAATGGTTCGTGCAAATTTCCGGTATAGCTTCAGATAAAGCCTCTATAACATTAAAGGAAAAGCGATAATGTTCCAATTACAAAGTAGTACTGGATGTTTAGTACTATTCAACAAAGCTACTTTAACCCTCTTATCTATTCTTCCTGCATTTCGCATAGCAATTCGGCAAACAAAAATCGTTTGACGTTTAGGCATGAACTGCTATTATTCCTGCTACTCAAAATAAAAATCAAGTTTTTTGAACTTTACTTTCAAATTATATTATAATCATTGAAAGCGGAATTTGATATAGAGATGTTGGTTGCTACTGTTAGATGTATTACTTTAAAATCCAAATATGCAATTAAATTTCACATTCAATTTCCCTAATAATGTCAAAAAAAGTGGAAGAAAAAAGAATTCCACCATACCTTGGAAATTTGTAACCTTTAATTCGTCTTCCGACTCATCCATATCCATTATCTTGTGATGCAGAAAACACTCCTCGTTATCTTCCTCATCCACTTCATAACAAAGAAAATCTTCACATTTGTCTTCCTCTGCTTTCTTTTCTTCCTCATCACTATTCACTTGTAGATAATCATCATTTATTTCGGAAGATACAACCGATTTATAAGGAATTTCTAAATTGTTGTTCGAACACAGTGATCCACTACCGACAAGATATGAGGATTGGAAGCACTCCGCTGTCAAATTTGTTCGTTCACTGATTGCTTTATTCGAATATTCGGCAATATTAGATTGTTTAATAACAATTTCCTCATCGTCACATATTTCACCTTCTTCCAAATCATCGCTTAAGCTTTTAGGCATTTTTCCTGAAATGTGATGATATTTATATTTCTTAGTTGACAACACAATTTTTGACAATTTAAAAATATGCAAATAGTCTGAATAGTTGGAAAGTTGAAAGAGGAACTGTGTGAATGATTCCGAGATAATGAGGAAGAAGGCGAAAGAAGAAAAATGGAAATAATTTTTAGATAACGGAATAGGAAATGATGGAAATAATTTCAGAGAGAAGAGGATTGATGAGGAAAACTGGAAAATTTTGTTAGAAAAGTGAAAAGTTATAAGAAAATGTCCATTGTGATGATTGCCGAAATTAAATTATGAGATTAAATTAAACTCAAAAATTTGGGTTCGATATACCATTAAATATCTCATGTGAGTCATGATAAATAAACCTTTCTTAAACAATAAAGATAATCTAATTAAAATGAATACATAATTGGCTGGTTAACTTCTAAATATAATTAAAACGACTATGAAGGCTCCAAAATATCATCACTTCATTGTACTCATTAGCATACCTGCCATAATAGGTTATGGTTTTAAACAAATCCTGAACTGATATTTGTAGTTCATGCTATCATCAATGATAACAGCTAAAACTTTTAGCAAATACTTTTCAAATAACAGATACAGTTTGCTCATCTTTCTATTTGATATTACGTAAACGTTTAATATCTTATGTGAGAAAAAAAGAAATTAGGCAAAAATTAAATTGTATTTCTATATCATCCACCTGAGAGTACAAGAAGTTGAGAGGCAACATTCAGGATATGAAAATATTGGTGGAAAATAAATCAAACAGTAGTTAATATTAATGGTTATTCAATAAAAAAGAAGGAGGATGATAATGACCTTTGAACCTTTGATTATGATGTCAGAGAAAAATTTAGTTTTTTTCCTAGATTAGGAATAGTTTAGCAAAGTCCGAAAAAAAAAGTTAAGTACACTTAAGCAAGAGACTACCGTAGCTGTAGATGGGTAAAATTCAGACAATGGAGGAATTTACAATTTCAACAAAATAGAATCATAAATTCTGAAAATGTAAAGTTTAGAATATTATAATAAGTTGAGCACAAATGATAATTTACCGTTAAAAAGAAAAAACTAACAACAAACCGATAGACTATCAAATAAAAACAACATGCATGTGATTAATGATACGG